CAGTGCACTGTGGCTGGCGTGGCCTCCACCGGGTCGCCAGATGTGGCTGCTGCGCCAGGCAGAGCGGGCAGAGTGCGGAGGATGTCCTGGAGCAGAGGCTGCAGCGTGGCCTCTGCAGCCTGTGGAGACCATTCTAAGGGTGGGAGACAGAGGTCCCATCAGTGCTTCGTCTTCTACACAGTTCTGTGGCCTTAAGAAGCTGGTTCTGGTCTCCCTAGCATTTTACAGGCCTCTTTTTTGTTCTTGTCTCTAGCCATTTTTACCTATTTTTTGGGGGGGAGAGACCAGGAGCAGCCGCTCTTATCCCTCAGACCCCTGGCTGTTATGAGGAGTCTTGGAATCCCACTGTAGCTGTGCCCTGGACTGGCCTGCAGCCCCCACTCCTGTGGGTCCCTTTGGGCAAGTGACAAAGGACACTTGGTCCCCCAAACATGCTGAGGGCCAAACGGCATTAGGGCCACCCCTCCGCCCTAACAGCTCACTTCCTGCCATGGAAGGGCAAAGAGAAGACAGATTCTGGGCCTGCGGAGGCCATGGGGTCCCCCTGCCGACCTGCATCACAGAGCCGACTGCTGTGGAGGGAGGTTTACCTGAGGCTCTGAACACCTTTAGCTGCCCAGCGCCTCTCTGGAGACAGAGGCTGCCATAGAAGATACCGCAGACGAGAAGCAGCAGCAAAATCAACCAGAGCCCAGGAGACGTGGGCAAGAGACAGAGCAGAGCAGACCATGGAGAGAGGAGGAGCGGTGGGGAGAAAGGTGAAAGGAAAGTGACAAACTGTGCCCAAGACAGAAAAACAGCAGAATTGTCCCAACTGGGTTTCCTGCCCCAAGGTAAGGCTGTGTAAGTGGGGGGAGTGGTTACCGCTGGGCTGGGATCCTACTGGGCGGAGCCTTGCACCTCTTTTCCTCCTCCTGTGCTGGGGCCACAGCCTCAGGACAGCCCCATGCCCACAATCCTCAAATCAGGGTCACAGGCCAGAACTTTCCCTTGAGATCAGAGTTTGGGGGGAGGACCCCAGCAGGCTCAACAGCTCCCCCAGACCGCCTTTCCCCACTGGCCAGGCAGAACTCATTATTTTAATAATTTTAACTAATTTCTTCCTTTCCCTCTACATCTCATCAAATGCTTGCCCAGTCTGACCAGTTTCCTCCCAGTATTTCCTGTGTCCACATCTCTAGCTTCTCTCTACTCCCGCCAACTTAACAGCCCACCATGTGGCCCCACAGTAGTCTCCAGGAAACATGAGTGCCTCCGTCCACCCAGAGAATAAAATCCAGCTTCTGTGACTCGGCCCCAGCTGTCACCCAGCCTCCCCTCCCACCACTGTCTGCCCCTATAAGCCAGTAACAGTAGACTGATGAACAAATGACTAACAAAGGGGCCCCACTCACCTGAGCGCCCTTCATTAAGAGACGGGCTCTGGGGGCCCAGGGCTGTGCGAGGACGGAGCCGCCTCAGTAACGCGTACCGTTCCACAAAGTTCCGGTGAGAGACCCTGGAAGCCAAAGTGGGTGGAAGAACGGAATGAAGCGACTTCATCCGTGGGCACAGCGCTCAGGGTACGACGGGAGTAACTGCATTTAATCTGCTCAACAACCCAGCGAGGTGCTGCCCTGGCTGCACTGCATGGACGAGGCTGGAGCTCTGGAGAGATTTTAAGGGTCTGCTCTTCCTGTGCCCTTTCCTAGAGGACTTGCTGTCTGCCTCCTTCCAAGGGGCATGGAGGGCCCTCTCTGGACCAACTAGACCACTCCTACCTCACACCCATGCTTGGCTGCATCTCCACCCGTCCTCTGACCCACTCTAGTCCCCTTCACGGCAACACTTCTCTAAACAGCTGATGACATCTGATATCTGCACTTCCTCCTCAAAGTTTGGCTTCTGCCCACAACACTGCACCATGTGGCTCCTGTCACAGCCATCAGCATGCCACTAAAATGGTTGCTGGTTTCTCGTCATCCCCCCTCTCGAAATGTGAGCATTCCTCAGGGCATGACCCCGATTCCTTCTATCCCCGATGGGGTTTCCTCCTTGTTTGTGGTGTTAAGACCCTCCAGTTCTTAGAGCTCTGCTGAGCCCGGGCCTCACAGCCATTTCAAACCTGACCCTCCCACCCTGCAACCTGTGCCTTCCTCAAACCATCTCGCCTCCAGGAATTACCCCCATCCACCCATTTGCCTCAGAGGGAAGCCTAGAAGTTGACCATCCTGCCTAATAACTCATGTTCAATCAATCCACAGTCCTCTTTCTATGACAAGCCACACCAATTTTACCCACTTCTCTCCAGTGTTCACTGCTGCCACCCTCATCGGGGACACCATCTCGCTTGTACACCTGCAACAAGCCTTTCACTCCTCTCTTTTCCTGACCCTACGTCCAACCTCCACATGGCAGCCATGGGATATGAGTGAGAGCACAGCACTCCCTCCTCAGAATGCCTGGCAGCTTCCACAGCACCCAGGACAGGCTGTGAAGTCCTTCAGGTCTGGCCCCCATCCCTCCCTCCTCTCCTCCCAGTTCTCTGAGCTCCAGTCACTTAAGCACCTCTCAGTTCCTAACCTGTTCCCTAGTCTGGAATGCTCTCCTCCCCAAATCTTCCCAGAAGCCCGAGCTGCCTACGACCCCTCCTGGACCAGCCCAAGGATATCCCTTCCCATTAGTCTACTTAATAGCATTTTTTGTTTCTTCCCTAGCATTGATTAACTTTATAGTTATTGTTCTTGTTTTCACAGGAATGTATGACCCAAGAGGGCAGACTCAACCTTCCTTATTCACTGATATATACTAGAAACAGTGCCTAGCACAAAATTGTGCACAGAAAGTAAACGGATAAATGACAAGCAGTTCCTTGAGTTCAGGTTGACACCTGTAGACCCGCCCTTTCCCTTCATCTCCATATCCGTCTTTTGGCTGGCAGGCTCTTGTTGGGCCTGAGTCTCAGCTCTACCCTGACATTGGCCCTGCCCCTGCAGTGATGGGCCCACTCACCGGATGGGGAAGCCGGCGGCACTGATGTGGATGGTCTCCACGAGACCACAGGCCTCCAGCTGGCTCAGGACCTGCAAGGGTGGAGAGACAGTGTGGTACCTGCAGCATGGGGCCAGCAGGGCAGACAGCATTCCCATGGCCCTGCCAGCGTGGACTGCAGGGTCTCCTGAGGCTCCATTGAGGGAGGTATACACTCTGGGGCTGGTGCAGCGAGAAATTAAGAAATACCTCCCTGCTAAAAGGGTCCCGGCAGCCCCAGGTCCCCTATGTGGTGCATGGCTGCTGGCATGGCTCTCACCATCCCCACAGTGCAGATGCTCTGCCTCACATGCAGCCCAGCCCCATTTGTTTTTATTTATTTTATTTTTGGCTAGGCAATCAAGTGAGTCACAGCTGCAGTGCATGGGAGGTTGGTTATACTGTGAAGAGCCTTCTGGGACCTGAACCATGGTCTTGACCACAGAAGAGTGGTTCTGGCTATAACCCCCAAGGTCACATCTACCAGTTGACTGTGGGACACTCCAGCATTGCCCAGTATTCACACCTCATCCACATCCTATGGAGCTCGGTACCCTGAGCAAAGAACAATTGCTGGCCCTTTTTGTGCACATTAAAAATCTAGAATCTAAGGCGAGACAGACTTCCAGCTAATTGCAAGAGATAGCTATTCTGGGCAGCTCCAGTCTCATCAGGGCAGTGCTAGATGAGAAGAGAGCAAGAGGCGCCAGAGCCCTACTTCCTTCCTTAGCTAGGTCACTGCAGTGCAGACCACACAACCATACACGACTGTCCTGCCAGCTATGGGGAGACAAGCCCCTCTAATGTCAGGCCCAGCCTGAGAGATCCCCTCTGGTCACTGCACTTGGAGTAGATGTCCTGTCCTTCTCCCCTCCAAGGCCTTGGTCAGATAGGGCTCTCTGCGAAGCAGCTTTGGCTCAGTGTGAATTACCTCCTCCCGGAGGAAGGTCTGTGCCTGGCCCTTGCTGTTGGGCTTGATGCAGCGAATGTAGTGGGGCGTGGTGCTGTGCAGAACCTGCAGAAGCTGTTCCAGGGAGGCCTGCAGAGGGGAGAGCGAGGTCAGGCAGAGGTTGGAGCTGCCTGGGGGCATCAGCTGGGCCCTGGCTAGAGACTGCATCAAACACCTCCAGCCCCAACACCAGGATCTTCTTGTGCCCTGGGATGGCTATTGGAGGCTCTTACTGTGTCCAAGCACTCCCATCCCTTGACCTCCCACTGCTCACATCTGCCTCCAGGGACCTTTCTTGAACTGTGACTCTCCAACTGGTTGGTCTCTCTGCATCTGGTCTCCGGGTCCCCCAACAATCTTCTTAGAAGAGAGCAATCAGAACCCCCAGCCATTCATTCAGGAAATAGCTGTTATTAAACCAAAGCCTATGACCCAGGCAGTCTGCTGCTGTCTCAGAGCCGAGTCTAACGAGCTGCACAGACACTGGACGGGCACCCTCAGTAGTACCTGAGGCTGGACAGGAAAGTGCTATTCAAACCTGGGCTCCCTGGGTACCTTCTCAAGGAGGTGATGATATTGCAGAGCTTTGAAGAATGAGAAGGAATAAACTAAAAAGAGACATGGAGGGTGTAGCTGAGGTGGTTGGGGTGAGAAGCAGAGTGTGCTGAGAGACAGTGGAAAGTATGATACAGGAGGAGACAAACCTGCACTGGCCAAGGACAAAGTCTGAGCAGGAAGCTGGAGAATGGAATGGGCCAGGTCATGGGTACATGTAACTATTGCTCTTCCACAGCCCCCCATACGCAGTGGTGAGACCCCTGTGCCACCCACAGGCCCCTAGGCTTCCCATCATGTTAGGCCAAGTCTATGTGTCTGTTTCCTGTCTCTGTCTCCCACACAGGACTGTCAACTTGGTGTGAGCCCGGACCATGTCTTCTTAACCCATCAATGCTCTCCATAAACAGCACCAATCCTGGGAAGTGCTCGGTAAACATTTGAGACTGAGGAGTGACCCAAACACGTCACATCAGCACTACCAGACCCACCTTGAACCTGGACACCACGGTCAACACAGGGGTCCTGCTCTTGCCAGAAGGCTCCTCCTGGGACTTCTCTTCTGGGTCAGTAGGAAACAACACCTTGAGCAGGGGGTCCTCGGATTGCTGCAGGAGCCTGGTCAGCTCAGGGGGCACAGGGTCCTATTGGGAGAGGACGAGAACAGTGGGTGAGGGCAGGTGGTGTGCTACCCAGGGCTGTCCACAGGCTTGCCAGCCTGCTCACCCAGGCCCCAGAGAAGGGAGTTCCAGGGTAGGACAGGCCCTGAGTCTGGGAAACAAGCTGGTCGCCTATGAATCAGCAACCCAGTGTGACATGGGTCATTTCTGGGCGGGTCATGCCTGATGAGCAGACCTCAGGCAGATGGCCCCAGAAGTGATCCTGGGTTCTGGGAAGATACTCAGGAGGGAGACACACAATAGGAAGCTGCGTGTATGGGCAGCAATGACTCAGCGTGCCATGTACCCAGGTCCCAGGGGCCATGGCCCAGCCTCACCTTGTTCTTCTCCACCAGGCCTGCGGTGTGGTACCGCACAGGCCCCGCGTAATGCGCCACAATGAAGCTGGGCTCCCGGCTGAGCTTGTCGTGGCCCAGGCAGGGGCTGCCTGCCAGGGCACTTTCAATGCGTGTCTGGAGCTGGGCTGCACTGCTTGGCCGGTTAAG